TATATAATACATACTACATATAACACACCATATGAAAGCACACTGCTAAAGCCTTTAGATGAAAAAAAAAAAAAAATCCCAATAATTTTTACAGGATGGATTTAACGGTTTTAATCAAAATTTCATCTTGAACACCATCTTCCAAGCACATGTTCTTCAAGTAGCATACATAGCTTCTATCTAAATATGCTTGCTCACCCTAAGATGTTTACTTGTGTCTCAAAAAAAGCATTATACAACTGTGTTAAGTTTCATGGGGTTTTATTTTAACCGTATCTTCTAGTTTACATGCTTAGTAGGCTGTGTGTGGCAGGATAATTTTTAATATTTAGCAGATGTTACATGGATATTGCTTCAAATCTGAGAGGGATACTAGCAATGTTATTGGTTTATATCACATCTAGCAGCTGTGATAAAAAGTGCAGTGTGAGTACTACTATTCCATACTACGAAATATTAATGTCATTGTGCTGAAGCATAGCTCAAATCTCACAGAAAGCAGAAAGATTTAACTCAGTGTCAAAAGGGGAAGCATTCCCAGTGTATCTGAATGAAACTGCAAGGAGAGAGCCTGAAATTTAACAATATGCTGCTGCTATTTACAGCAGAATAAACATATTAAGCTCAGTGATTGCACATCATGACAAGAAGACTAATCAAGTACCACTTATTGTAGCTGAACTTGAAAACTAGAGAAATACTCACTATAAAAGAAAGAAGATTGAGTAGAAAATAACCTCACAGGTTGAGCCAAAAAGGGCAAAAGTTCAGCATTTTCCAATTGCTGCTGTGGAGTTTCCACAGCTGCTGAAAATTCTCTTTTTTCTAATCCAGAGGAAATCTGAGGGAACCTCAGATACCACTGGGTGGTAGCTGCTGGCAAATGTTACAGATTTTATCTCAAACACCAGCATATTAACTGCTTGCATTTCAACATCCATTTTTTATTCAACTTTTTCTTCTTTAACTTATTCCTACAAAGTACAAGCTAATGCATAGATTAATATATAAATACAAACCATTTGACATGCTATACCTACTTCATATAAAGAATCATAGGATCATAGAATTGTTTGGGTTGGAATGGACCTTCAAAGATCAACTAGTCTAACTCCCCAACATCTTTCAATAGGAATAGACTCTATATATATTTTACCATGTCATTAATATTGGGGTTTTTTTCAGTCTTTGAACCAGGTCACTGAAAAGAAGAATGCATTCCAGATGGAGTCAAGTTAGAACAGAACCTGAAACATGTTTCAATGAAAAGTGAGGGAGACCAATACTTTGTAGCAGCTATTTAATGAATTCGTATTCCAAACAAGTCAAATTCAAGTGAGGACTTTTGCATGCAGGTACTCTTTAATTTCACAAATTTCCATGTAATAAAGCAAAGCCACGTATATTCACCTACTTTGGCTTCCATTAAAATAATGCTTTTTAAAATTTAAATACCTTCAAAAAATGGGCAGGAATGAAAAATACACCACGACTCTTCAGTACACAGAGAAAGTATACTGGATCAAATTGCCAAAACCTAATCTGAGCATGCACCTTCATCAGAGAATTCAGTTAAAGCTGGAAAAAAAGATCCTGATTCAGAGAAGACCAACAACATTAAACAAATCTATCAGAATCAGTATGCAATTATTTTCCACTCCACCCTCGTTTGTTTCATGCAGAGGGACAAGTATATGCTGAGATTTTGACCTTAAGAATGCTTGACTATATGTTTGGATCTGATTATCATAACCATCACAAGTTTTTATGTGCTGCTATCTGATTAATACTCACCCTACAACACTTTCATATTCTAGAACTGAAGAAGACTGATCGTCCAGAATAAGAAGGAACTAATGAACAAAGTATCATTTGTAGCTATATCATTTCAAATTTTTGTTACATAGATAAATAGGAACTATTTCAGATGTGGCAAAACTACTGGTGAAGTCAAAGGAATAGTCTACTTGACTCTGATTTTAACTGCAGTCCTAGATGTTCTTCAAGTCTCTTCTCAAATACATGATTTCATCATCACAGAGTGGTAACAGAGAAGAATAAAATGATTTTATGAAGTTTAGCTTGTAATTAGTTGTGCATCTGATTCTGTGTCACAGTAACACAACTTGGAAGTAACCCTCACCTTGTAATACCAAAACCTTGCAAAGCTTACTAATCTATCACAGCAAACCACTGGGATACAGAAAACAGTGTAAGATGATACACTTTCTGCACTCATCTGCACAGAAACAAGTACTGCATGATGATTATACTGACTAGGACACACTGTAATATATGCTTAATGAGAAGATTGTCTCTTGCAAAATGTTAAGAACTATCAACACATACAGTGACTACCATGTGATGTCACTAAGGTAACTAGTGTAACTGGCTTCCTTTGATTACAGGACGTCTTGATAAGTTCCTTCCAAAGACCTATTGCTTCTGATACATATTCTCTGTAGTAAAGCTGGTTGGCTCACATAACAGACATGACATCTTTCCTTCCCTGCTTTGTCTACTAGACTGCCTTTTATTAGTCTGTAAACTGCAGTGGACGTAAACTTTTACTTTATAATGTTCTTAGTGAAAGAGGCATAAATATAGAAAGACTGTAGGCGGACAAATAAAGATTATGAATCATTGTTTTCTCTTAAATGCATACATTCATACAGGTTTTGTGAAAAGCTTGAGATTTCGTTTGCATATTTTTTGTTAATTACAGAAATCATACTTCGTGATCACCTTGCCCAAAGTGTTCTCTTTAGTACCTCACTTTAAATCTCAGTTTAAAACAAACTGAATTGATATGAATGTAAATTTCACTGCTTGGTGAAACCGGTATGAAGTCTGGCTGAAGAGCAGTTTCCTAAATCTATTGAGGTACTTCCGGACCATGGCTCCTGGGCATTAGAAAGTCAAATACTCTTTTCCAAATTCATACCACTTGTGAAATGATGAAGGGAGAAGATAGCATGCTGTTCCTCTCAAACCCTGCTAAAGAATGCTATTTCTGCATTCTGTCCCAAGAAAGGAGGTCTATGTTCCAGGTTTCTACCCACGTTATGAGGGTTATCATGTTACCCTATTTCTACATTTCATTACATTTATAACATTAAAGCAAGCATGTGGCTGCTGGTTCTGATATGCAGACTTCTTGGCACTATCTAGCAATGATTCAGCAATACTTGATGAAGTTCAGTGAAATTAATCACCCTTTTTAATGTTTATGAAAGCAATCCTCTCTGAGAAGCTAATACAGACACCTCTTACATTTTTTTGACACAGCATGACATGGCACACGCTTTAGTTTAGATTTAGTTATCTTAAAAATGTTACCATATGAAGTATTCTATCCTCTTAAACATTAACATATTTATCACCAGTGAATGACAATTTCTTCAAAGCTAAGAACTCCTGGAGGAGGCCACATAACAAGGTCACTTCCCACTTTCTTGAGAAGGTCACTAAGCATCCTTTCTGAATAGGCAGGGCAGAGTATAGAGTGATACCAACACACTGTTTCCCCTGGTCTACTGGATCCCTCACCATAATTCTCCTACTAGAAGATGCTGGGTACCTCCATTACTCTTTTTACAGTGCTCTTTTACCATTCCAGCTCTTTCTTCATACTGTTTTCTGCCCTCACTCACCTCTGTCCCTTTTCTCCAGGTGCTATTCTGTTCAAATATTACTTTCTTTACTCCTAATAATTCGTTTTTCTCCTTTTCTCTCTCACCACAACGCTGACAAGAACTCTGATACAATATATCTGGAGAGCAGAAAAGACTGTATCATGGAATTTTTTAAAAAGTGTCCAGAAAGGCCCAGTTCAGAGTATGGTGTGACTAAAGCGAAAGATAAGAGTCTCCCTAGTGTTGTGGCCTAATCTCTACCAAATCCTTTAAATTTAAGAGAGAAATCTAGGAAGATACCTGCTCTCCCTCAAGGAGATTGGCCCTTTGCTGTAACAAAAGTGAAATAAAAAAATTTTCTCTATCTACTGCACAAGCAAACATCTACATCATGGTAAGAAATTTACTTAACTAGGCACACAAATAGAAATAGACTCCTGGACCAATTTAAATTTCATAACATATAAATAAGTATGTTATTTTCAAGTGAATAATATTCAGCAGTTATTCCTAGAAATTATATACTCATTATTTTACTAGATTATGCTGAGGACTGGAAACAGCACTGGTGAGATTACTTTCTGCTGGCACTAAGTAAGCACACAGCAAAAGTAAGCTACTCATCATCCAAGTCAAGAATCTGAAGTAGAGAAATTACAGGTTGTTCACTGGAATTTAAACATAAAGTGATTCTATGCTTTACTGGCTGCATTGTTATCCCATGTGATTACATATGTGTGAGACTGACTTGCAATGACCCTAAGAAAACCAGTAAGAAAAACTCTGTGGGTTGACTGCTCATTGCTAGAATCTGCAAACAGAGAAATCATGTGCAAAATTCCTAATGTATTCATGAAAACAGGGCTGTGCGTCTATTTTTGTTAGTAATGAAACAAACAACTGCCTTAAGAAATACCCAGCTCTTCTCAGTTTTTCATGGTAACATTATGCAAGATCCTGAAAATTCCTCAAGTCTAAAAGGAGTAACATAAGGCAAGAGTAAAATTGTGCCATTTATTCTAGAGTACTCTTCCTACATTTCCTTCATACAGGTACTTAAGTACAGAGGGTGCTTTAAACTGTACTTTATCATGGTCTTCTAAGTCAATTTTGCAGTCTACAGTAAAAGACTACAAAATTCGAAAATAACATTTTGTCCACCCCTGTCTCTCGCTGCATATCAAATTAAAGACTACCTTTCCTTTCAGTCTAGGGTCAAAGATGGAGCAGTCATTCATTCACACAGGCTAGTTAAAAAGGCACACAATTAAACTGGAAAAAGAAAGGTAGAATTACAAATTCTTCGTTATTTTCGTGAGCAATATAAGACCTATTACTGGTAAGAGAGACACAATTCAGACTTACTGTGCATTTGTTTGGCTTCTCTCCTGAGTGGACTCTCATGTGAATCAGCAGTTTATAACGGGCATTAAATGGCTTGTACCTTCGTGGACACCCTGCCCAGAAGCAAGTAAAGTCCTCTCCTTTCCTCTGGTCTATATGAATCTTCTCTATGTGCCACACAAGTTCCTCTTGCTGGTTGTACAGTGCACCACAGTCTAACCAACAACAGCCATACTTGCCATTGAAATCGCCTGACTCACTGTCTTCATCAAGCAGGGAGCCCGGGGCAGAAACAGCCATAGCCAATGGGTGAACACAACTGGGGAGGTTGTGTGGATGCCGGTGCTGGTGAGCGTGGTATGGTGGTGGGGGCCCTTGAGAAGGAGGTGGTGGTAGCATGGGTGGAAGAGGCATGTCAACCATATGGCTCGAATAGCTGTCCAGCTGTCCATCTTTCAGGATGTCCACCACCTGGTTGTCTGCAGGCAGCATGCCCACCTGGATCACCATGTTACTTGCAGCGCCCATCTCCAAGCTGGCTTGCTTCAGCTGCTGCATCCGCTGGTACTCGCCAGCCCCATTATCAGTGTACCCTGAGAAGGTGACATTGCCATTAGACATGAGGAGGACTTTCTGGGCAGATGGAATAGAGCAATTTTGGGGCATACAGCTTCCTCTCACTCTCAAAAAATGTCCATAGACCTCAGGCTGTGGGGAGACATTTGCTGGTGATGTCCTGGAACTGTTGATATAGGACACCAAAGAGGTTGGGGATGTATGGATGATTGTATTGAAGTCAATCCCAATGCCATCAGACAGAGGAGACAGAGAGAGTGATCTTTTTTTAGAGCACGCTAATTGAGACCAGGCTGAGGAATGGTGAGGACTAGTGTAAGAGGAATGCTTATTTTCTGTGCCATGTAAGTAGGATAGTAATGAGTTAGATATGAAGTTACCTGACACGGATGTTCCAGGTGAAAAATTTAGTAAGTCCCCAGGCTCACTGCTGCTTTGAAAACCTTGGTCAGGAGCAACAGAAGGAAGTGTCTTGTACCCATGCGCCCACTCTTGCTTAACACTCGAAGTGGACTGACTTTCTGACAAGCTTAATGTCATAGAGGCCAGAGATTCATGTGACAAGAGCAACCTAGAATAAAGGCACAATAAACTAAGTAAGCAGTTAGACAATTCAACAGAAGTCTTTCTATTTTCACACACACATAAAAGTAAAGAAAGGCTACATGTGAAAAAAGTTCTCTGGAATTTTAAGTACTCAAATTCAGCACTCTCCGTTAATCTATCAGCAGGCATACATGGGCAATACATATGTAACAAGGTCACTTAGAAAACAAACTTCAAAACTTCCAGATTTTAAAGAAAAGTTGCTGTAAATGTTCTTGATATATCACTGAAGAAATCAATGCAAATCTGTTTATCAGCTGTAGTATAAATAGGTTTGGGCTTCTGAAGCCAAAGCATTATGCTCCTGCCTTGTACAAAACTCGTATTGATTTGAGTTTACTATTATTTTGCTTCAAAGAACAGGAAAAAAACTTATTAATAAAGAATAAATATTTAACCTGAACATAATTGTAAGGCATACCAATAGTAGTCTTTACAGAAATAACAAAAGTTTATAAATACAAATATCTAACTTTACAAAAACAAAATTAATAATGTAGAAGAGCTGCTTGAAGTGGTTTATTTAGTTGTGATCTGACGATGCATCTGCCACCAAGTCAGAAATCTAAATTTTCATGAAAGTGTAATCCTGCTATTATCATTGTTTTTCACAGAAATAATGTGAAATTTACTTATACTGCAAATATTCTACTGGTAGCTTAAAAAAAAGAGCTCATAAGCTCTTAACAGTACTATTTTATACTGAACGGTATAAAACAAATATAAGAACATCAAGATCCCTTGTTCATGGCTGCAAATGCTGGGTAAAGACCAAGTGGATTTACGTCTTTATCTTTTCAGTTCACACGCCAGACTTGGATCTCCTGTCAGCCAGTGGAGCTATCAGTGTATTAATTTCAATTTTAAGGAGCTCTAGCAGTAGAAAGAACCAGGTATGCAGCTAGATAAACCTGGAGATCTCATAGACACAGAAGCCTCTGCGCCATTTGGGGATTAATTTCTGGATTGATTATTTTTACAATAAACTTTTTAAAAAGCATAGAATTTTAATGATGGATACAGTAAATGGGAAATTTGGTTTCTCTTTCACACCTAAATTGCATTTTTTAAGGTAGATAAGTCAATCACTGCTTCTTACTGTCTCACATAAAACCCACGATCCACAATACTTCCCCCTATCGTACAAAGACTTCAGGAGGTCAAATTAACTTTAAAAAGACAGCTAATATGTTCTAATAGGTACCTTGAATACTGATAGGTACTTTAAATACCAGGTGCTGAAATATATTTTCTAAAAGCTCTAAATAAACAGTATATGAAATATTTGCATGCAATATTCCACAGGCACTGTCATGCAGGTAGGGAATAATGTATTTACAAAGGTATTCCTGTAGTTGTTTATAATTATTTTACTGCATGTTTTTATATTGCTACAAATATCCATTTTTGAAAAGAGAAAAGTATATACCATAAAGAAAATTAATTAAATAAAATCTCATCTGTTCCTTGATACATACATGGTTACAGCAAGCTTCTGAGGAGGCACTTCTACCTATTTGACTTGCTTCTTTTTTTAAGAGGGAAGCAAGTTCTCATATCCACTCAGGGTAAGCAATATTGCAGTTGCTTCTGAGTTTCTGCAAGGTACTGCTTCAGGAACACAGAACCATGGGATAGATCTGTTTAGGCTCATACTTGCATCGTTTGTCTGCACTACAGCCCCACTGCAGCAACCACGGCTTCGTTTGAGATAGATGAAACTTCTCAAGTGGTGGTTGGTGGTAGGCTGAAACTGGGAATCCTATTTAAAACAATATCAATCAACCCAAGAGAGCTAGAACAGATCCTAACAACTGCTCTGGAGATATTCCCAATGAATTTACCACATTTCCATGATTTTGCTTTTTGTGAATTGACTTTTCGCCTCTGAGATCTGTGGATCATCTTTCAATTAGATCAGCAAGGTTGAAAGAATGTATGAAAACACTATGTAAGGTCATTCAGGTGAGAGAAATGTATATAATTTTCCATGCTCAGATCCAGCCTTAGAAGTTAAAAATGAAAAATCACAGTGTCTTTGTTATCTTATTCTGCCCATCACATGAGAACACCCTCAATGATGGGATTTTTTTCCTACTAGTTATTGCAGCATTTTCAAACAATTGCGAGTCAAACAACATGAAGAAAGAAAAGCCATTTTGCAGTGACTTTTATTTAAGGGCTGGATCGTGCTACAAGAACACAGCTCAGTCATTGTTGAAGAGCTGGAGGAGGGGAAATGATTGTCAGGGCACTCTGGCTGCCCCCTCAGCTCTCTTTTGTCTAGAGGGGAACGTTGGCACAGGCTGAGGGAGAGACAAAGCAATTTGCAGGTGCTGCATCTGTGCACTGAGATAACTCATGAACAGTGAAAATGTAGCTCTAAATAATTACCCAGCCTTGCTGTGGTGACCTACAGGATCGATGGAAAATGCTCCTTTGCTCAAGATACTTGCTTTGTAATGGATTGTTGATTTGCTGAACATTGTTTTGTTTGTTCATAGGCTACTGTTACAAAGGTTATGTTACTCCATCAGGGTTTAAATGGCACTTTCAAAACACACCATTGAAGAAAAGCACAATTAACATGTTGACTACAGTTTGCATTGAGAGAAATGAGAAAAATGGGATTGCTATACCAGGTCAATGTGGAGCAAGATTCAGATCTAAAGGGATAATTATTTGTTTGAAAAAAAGAATATTCATGCTGTTGGGTCTGTTATCAATGGATTTGCTAAAGTTCAGTTCATTATAGAGCAGTTAAATCATGTTAGTATGCTGTGACCCCTAAACAGCTCCAAAGTCTGCAACAGAGCAAGAGGAGTAAGTAAGGTTTGATTTTTCCATACTAGTACAGATATATATATATATATATTTATTTCTGGAAAATACAAATAGGGTTGGTTTGGGCTTTTTTGCTGGTTTGATTATTTATTTTCTTTTATAAGTAGGAAAAAAATAAATCATCATTGTAACAAATCTGGTTTTGTAATGTCAAGAATTTTAATCAGATGCCTCACAGAACCAGTCTCATTCAAAAAATTTCTAATGCATAACACAAAGGCACATACCCACCAGTGAAGCCAAAGAAAAACTGCATTTCAAAAGTCTCAGAAGAAAACGAGCAAACAAACACTTTGGCCCAGAATTTCAAGTACACAGTAAGAGCCAGATAATCTGAAGAAGCCCCAGATTAAGCCTCTAAACTCAAAAGCAGTGAACATTCCAACTCCCAAAACAAAGAAAATTCCTTTAAAACCCAGCCTATACTGTGACTAAGTAGTTTTCTGGGGGGAAATAAATATAGCTAATAGGAAAATGAAGGGTCAGCTATACCATTGTTCCAGATTCTCAGATGGTATTAATTGGCACGTCTACTTATTGTAATCTAAACCAGTTTGAGATCTTTCATGAATGTTTACAAGGGATTACTTGTAATTACTTTCTCTTCTTCCTATGTGTACAGAGGCCATAATGTCAAAGTGTAACCTTATACATAAACTCCTACATACACAAGACTCCTACCCACAAACATGGAAGAGTGAAAACTATGTTTTCTTATCTTTTTGTTTTGTCTTCAGTTTTACTAGCCAAAATCCTTTTTCTCTTTCCTAGGATGCTTTCTGACTTACATCAAAGTCAATCACAATATTCCATCTGGTTTCAAGCAGAATAACTGAATACTCTGAAAAAGTTTTTGGGAAACTCAGAAAAGATGGGGAAGGTTTTACCCATCATGGAATATATATCTGGAAAATGCCAAGTTTTTTCTTTCTTCTATCAACAAAAATCAAAACAAGTCATTTTGGTTTGATTCAGTTCAGCAAGTAATTTGGTTTGGATTGAGCTGCCATTGCACAGTTCATGATGCCTGAGAGATACAATCCAGGGAAGGCACTCAGCCCATGAAGGATTGTGGAGTCACTCTAGGCAACTGGTTTAGGCCGATGCAATATATTGCTGAAGCAACTTTAAAAAAAAAGGAAAAAAAAAAGTGTCTCAACAATCTGTCAATTAAAACCTAATTTTAAACTTGTTTTGCCCTATTAGATTGTCAACTTGAGGGCAAATTGCTGAAACGGACATTCTTCGTGTGGCAAACTGATTTTATAACATCTTCATTGATACATCCTTAAAAGAGACTCTAGGGACACTAGAGACTCTATTCTGCCAGAGTTTCAACTTCAGTTCACCCTTAGTAAAAGTTTCTTTAAAATAAAAACAAAAATGTATAACTCGGTGCTGACATAGTACACCCAACCACACATTCAGATTAAAACAACAGTGTTTGGAACCATACAGGCACACCTACAACTTACTAAGTAAGTAATAATTACTTAATGATATTTTTATATCATCAGCTCTATCTCAAAGGCATAGCTCTGGATTTGTCATTTATCATCACCTTAGCACTGAACGGTTTTTGCTGAAACATGTATACATAATTAATCTTGTAAATTGTCCTGGGGAACTCAGCTTTTACAACTGAAGCAACAAGAAATGTCACAAACTATCTTAAAGTAGAGCAAAGCAAAATTTTCTTCCAGTTACATAACACCAATTTTAATTATTTCAACAATACTCCTTGCCTTGTAATAAAGTGATGTAGCAAAAGGGAAACTGTCTTGAGAGTGAAGACCTTTGTGGTCTTTTGTAAATAAGAACAGTTACATTTCAACTCAGTAAGCAACTGTTCCAATGAGTCACATCTATTAAAAGTGGGAATTTAGCTTCTGAAATAATATGCCACAATGTTTTAGCACTGTATATTTAAGTAATAGGCTAGGATGTGCTTAATGTATTTGTATGGATAAATATTTTCCCTTCTTTTTTGCTGACACTATTCAAAGCCAAACCCTCAGAAGTTTAATTAAAGAATTAATATTTATCTGTGATTTAGTGATATAAAAAGGCAACGTTTACAGGGAGAAGCCATAGTTTTCATTAAACTACCCATGAGAGCTAGGAAAATGGACAAGGTTTTAGGGACATAAGTATAACAGATAAAATTAACTGTTGGCTCAGTACAGATTGGGAACAACAGATTTGATTTATTTACTCATGTAAACAATTGAACAATTTGAAAGCAAAAGTTTTTGATGAGGAGGAGAGAAGGCATCTTGGTTTTTTTTTTCTTGACATTACTGTTAACTTGACAGGCACCAACATAGCACTTCTAGTACTATGTAAGTTTAAAACAGGTCACTGCTCCTGAAGATGCAACATGTGGACTATGTCTGCTTTCATCCTCCATAACACTTCCTGTCCTTAGTACAAAGATATAGTTAAGTGACTATAAAAAAGACCTACGAAACGTAGAAAATGTGTGGACAAATTTCACCCATGGTTTCAATGACCCAAACAGGATGATTATAGCTGGTGTCAACTAAATTGCAGTGAATAAATGGCATAACAGGGCATCATTCAGGCCATTTTATTCATCATAAAGTTTGCATTTATATTACAAGAGTATTAAAATACCCTCTTTTTAAAGTGCAAAATATAAAAAAGCAACTCAGGACCTTGTATCTGATGGAGAAGGACTCAGGCTGGAAACATCCATAGACCTCTGTAAGCTAGGGTTGATGCTGTTGCATGCTGTTGAAACCTGATTAGCAGGAAGTGAAACGGGTCCCAGCTCTTGAACTGTCATGGGACTGCTGGTGACTATTACATTGTTGTAGCTGCCTTTTCCAATGGACTTGCACTGGGGTCCATAACCAAGACCTCCTAAAAGTAAACAAGGCAGGTTAGTATTCATCTTCCACAAACTCATGATGAGGCCACAGAACTCACTTTGCAAAGTAGGAAAAGTGACTGGAACCAAGTATCTCCAGGTAAGGACGCAACAGTGAACAACTACAAGGATTCTGCAAGCCTCTCCCAGCACAAAAAGTAGTATTTTAAAGGGGAATTAACAAATTCTTCATGTTTAAAACGTGTGCTGAAGTACACAAACTAAAGACCAGGCATCATGGATAAACATCTTAAAAAAGACCACTTTTTTAAAAAGAAGCGTCCAGGTAAAAGAGAAGCCCTTGGCTGAGGGACAGCCAAGCTCTAAGTGCACCATTATCTGAAGGCGGGAAGAGAGAATCCTACTGCCTTGAATCCTACCAAACACCACAGCTCCAAGCCACTGCAAACCCTTCCATCATTCCTACCACTAGCCATCCAAAAAGCAAGGGACTACAGGCATGCATGCAAGTGCAACCCATGTAACAAGGCTGGTGTGGGGAAGCACATAGGCTGCGCAGTTTCCCTCGCAGCAGAGAGTTACAGCAGTAGCCCAGCATCCCCCAGAGGTCTGGGAAGAGGAGTTTGAGCTGAATCAACCAGAGAAGCATTCTGGACTTTCTTTAAAAGGCCACAATCTGCTCTTAATCGCTGCTGCCATGACTCAAACTGATGGTTATTACACAGTAGCCTGAGAAGATTATAAAGGTAGCCGGCAAGCGGGACATATCTGCAAAATGCTCTGTGTATGTCATGCTCTGATTTATGTTACAGATGGTGGTTTGCAAGATCCTCTGCATCAAAACAAGATGAAAAATGTAAGTTGTAATATGGAAGTTACTGGATATAGCAAAGGCATATCACAGATGGAAATTAATATTGAGATAATTCACATTTCTAGCTGCTCCCCCATGTTCAGAACACTACCCGAAGCAGGATAGCAGCATCATGGGAAATAGTGAAAAATGCTTTCAATTTAAACCATTTTCTAAATTGAATCTGCTTTTGACTTGGTTGTAAAACTCACATAGTATTTTTTTCCAAGATATTCAAATGGGCTGTGAAATCCACAAAGTACCTTAAGGCATTTATGGTCCTCACAGTCATAGGAAGAAAATCCAGATCAAAAAGGATTATCTTAAAATTTTGCAATTCACCCTAGAAATGTTAAATTGTAGCTTTCCTTAAAGAAAAAAAAAAAAAGAAAGAAAAAAAAGGGGGAATGTATAACTGTTTATTCCTGTTTCTGAGGCTGCTTCTGAGGTCTATGACTTCTTTTCTAATTATTTTTTTTTTTACTAATTATCTACATATATGTGAGGAGGACATATGTGGTTCTCCATCCACTATGATCCTAAGCACTTTGTAAAGTCATATACAAATATTACAAGTTGATTGCATGACTCACCACCAAAATGTACTCCTTGGGATGAAATAGGGCAACCCTGTAGGAAAAACAACTTACTCATTGCTACAACTTCAAAACATTAATGAAGAATATAGCATCTGGCTGAAAACTCAAGGGTAAGGAAAGAAAAAATATTTAATAACCTAAAATACTGAAATTTAACCAGAAGGACTGGAAATTTATGAGGAAAAACATGTAAGCAGAGCTCCTTTTACTGCAGTCAACTCCATTGTGGGTACCAGAAAAAAGCCCTTCAGGATTGTAGGACTACTGTCTGCTGTCACTGAAGATGTTCAGTTAAATCAAAGGAATAGGAGAAGGTATTTTATTTTCTTTCCTGTAAAGAAGTTTATATTTTGAACTCACTAAAGCTGAATCACTGTGCTACTCAGCAGTTGTTTTTATAATGTTACAGAGTGTTAAAATGAAACCAGACAGCAAAAATGAGGCAAAAATCCTAAATTGCCCCCCCCCGGGAATAAAATGAACGCCATTCCTCTTAGCAAAAAGCTGAGTTGGGTGAAGTTAAAAATTTACATAACATTCATATCATATGAAATACATACCACTACATAATATCTTTATGTGAATATATCTGTGTGAATATTACATACATTTATCCAGCAACTTTTTTAGAAAAGTGCTCTTGTAAGATTTTCATTCAGGGACAGACCATATATCGGTTCAAACAACAATCTGCAACTGATATAGTGAAATTGCTATTTACACGTGATTAACCTGATCTGCTTGAAACTTACAAGTCAGGGGAAAAAAAAAAATCCCAAAAGTAAAACCAGAAAAAGGAGTACTGTCAAACCAGTTCTGTTAAATACAGAAGTGTCATCTGCATTATATCCTGCTTTCCCTTTCAGTTATAGGGTCTGCTTTTATTAACCTGTGCATAAACAGCACCTGAGTGAATCTGAGAACAGCTAAGAGAACTTGTTGTGTAAGGGTAAGGATGACAGCCAAAGATAATTAGTCACTTATCACCAAAAGGAAAAAATGAGAATATGAGAGATTGTATTATTGGGATAACAGACAAACATAATGCAAGACTCTGGTCCTGATAAACATTTGCCTGTCCATTTCTCTGATGCAGAAGATAAAAAGTGTTCTTTTTATCATTGACAAACACTTGCTATTAAGGAGAAAAACTGCAATTAATCCACTTAAAAGGCAAGGGGGGTGTGAGGGTGTGGGGAAGAGAAATTATCCAGAAAGAAACTATCACCATTAATGGTTAGACTTGATGATCTCAAAGGCCTTTTCCAACCTAGTTGATTCTGCAATGCTATGATCATCTCCCACCACTGAAAAAGACTGCAAAGTAAAAGACTACTGCTATGAAAAGCAAAGTCATAACATCTTATCCATTGTTTCATACTGGTGTAAATGTGCCAAACCCCCATCATTAATACCTCATCTGTACCCTGCAGGCTACTGGCTGCTACTAGTTTGATCTGAATCAGGCATGAGCATATTGAGATATCAGAGATGTCAGAGCTCAAGATAGGAAGCTTACACTGACTTGGAGCCAGCTGCAGTAGTGCAGAACACATCTGATCTAGCACAAAGTTAAATGGGTGCAAGATGGACATCTAACCTGGCGTGAGCCTGCTGCTGTCAGAAAGCTGTCAGAAAGTGTGTTCAGAACCACTGAACAAATGTGAACTGGCAGAATGACTATGTCCCACATCAGCATCTGACATCATATAGCCACAGTGCAACAGGAGCCCTCAGTACAGGTCTGCTGTATCATTGACCCAAAGCCTGCAAATTTCAGGACAATGAAAGGACAACCAGGAGTTCCTTAATGTCTTAAATTCCCATCAGCTGAGATAAATGGGAACCTCTTTGAAGGACATCAGTGGAGTTTGAATGAGGCTGTAGAGTCTAAGAAAAATACATGGAGTTAGTATTTTAAATGAGCAAGAGAAGCAATTGACCCTGGAAACCACAGGCCTGTCAGCCTGACCTCAGCACCAGGGAAGATCATCCTGAGTGCAATTGCGCAGCATGTGGGAAAACTGGGGGATCAGACCCAGTCAGCATGGGTTCACAAAGGGCAGGTCCTGCTTAAACAACCTGATATTCTATTACAAGGTGGCCCACCTGGTTGATGAGGGGAAGGCTGTGAACATTGTCTATTTGGACTTAAGTAAGTTCAAATAACACTGTCTCCCACAGCACCTCCCTGGAGAAACTGGCTGCTCATGGCCAGGACAGGTGTATTCTTTGTGCTCTGCCATCCAGCCACTTTCCAACCCAGCAAAGAGTGGTGGTAAATGGTATCACATCTAGCTGGTGACCAACCAGTAGTGGTGGCCCTCAGGGCCCAGTGTTAGAGCCAGTGTTGTTTAGTATCTTCACTGATGATCTGGATGAGGGAATTGAGTGAGCCCTCAGTAAATTTGCAGACATCACCAACCTGGACAGGAGCGTTGATCTGCTGGAAAATAGGAATTCTCTGCAGAGGGATCCGAACAGGCTGGATTGATGGGCTGTGGCCAATGGTATGAGGTTCAACAAGGCAAAGTGCCAGGTCCCGCACTTGGGTCACAACAACCCCATGCAATGCTCCAGGCTTGGAGAAGAGTGGCTGGAAAGCTTCTCTGAGGAAAAGGACCTGGGGGTGATGATTGATTGAGCTGAACATGAACAGCTTATGCCCAGGCAGCCAAGAAGGCAAATGGCATCCTGGCCTGTATCAGCAATAGTGTGGCCAGCAGGGCCAGGGCAGTGATCATCCCCCTGTACTCAGCACTGGTGAGGCTGCACCTCAAATCCTGTGTTCAGTTCTGGGCCTCTCATTGCAAGAGAGACATTGAGGTGCTGGAGCAGGTCCAGAGAAGGACAATGAAGCTGGTGACGGGTCTGGAGCACAAGTCTGATGAGGAGCAGCTGAGGGAACTGGGGTTGTTTAGTCTGGAGAAAAGGAGGCTCAGGGGCACCTTATCACTCTCTACAACTGCCTGAAAGGAGGTTCTATCAAGGTGGGGGTTGGTCTCTTCTCCCAAATAATAAGTGATAGGACAAGAGGTAATGGCCTCAAGCTGCACCAGGGAAGGTTTAGATTGGATATCAGGAAAAAATTCTTCACTGAAAGCATTATAAGGGATTGGAACAGGCTGCCCAGGGAAGGAGTGGAATAACCATCCCTGGAAGTGTTCACAATCCATGTAGATGAGGCCCTCAGTGACATGGTTTAGTGGTGGACTTGGCAGTCCTGGGATAATGGTTGACTTGATGATCTTAAAGGTCTTTTCCAACCTACTTGATTCTATGATTCTATATATCATGAGATAGTCCAATAAATTGTGAAGGTGGAATTAGTCCTGAGTTGGCTCACAGGAAGATCTACAATTGATTAGCATGTCATTTATTCCAAATAAACATATTACACAGAAATCAAAACTGCTCTTTCATCAGTAACTAACAATTAACAAATATAAATAGTAAAAACATTTTATAGAAATACTTTAACCCATTCACTTTCTCATTTGTTAGCTTGTCTATTTTCCCTATTTATTGTCTACAGCTGGTTAATAGCTACGTTTCACTCACATTTGACATGCAAAAG